CATCCACTTTGCCTTTTACAGAGAGTCAAAGATCTGAAGTCTTTGTTCCATTTATTTGTTTGTGCCACAAGCAAAATAGAGGGTCTCATTAGCTGGAATACATTGGGTTGGATCCAAGGTTTCATACATGGAAGGGATTCATAGAAGCAGATTTTCCCCACCTTCCCTTTCCCTGAGCATCTTCCTGTGCCCCTCTGAAAAGCTGCAGCAGAGCTGCTGTAAACACTCCTGATAGGACTTCCAACTCCAGGCTGGGAAATACCTGGAGATTTTGGGGGTGGAGCCTGGAGATGGTGGGGTTTGGGGAGGGTTTTTTTTAGTATGACATACAGAACATGTGCATACAGAAGCCTACAAGTGGTGTAAGGTAGGAGAAAAAAGTGGTGTAAGGTGGGAGAAAAAGTGATGTGAAGTCAGAAATTTAGAATTTGAATTTCGGTGGGAAGAACTGACCTCACAGGAAATGGAAGAGATGATCTTTCATTTAGTCATGGCATCTGTTATGTCCTCAGACTACTGTCAGGCGCCAGCCAGAGGCAGCAAAACTTTGATCCCAAAGACAATAGGGACTAGGCTCCTGAACTTCCAGTAAGGAGCCAATTGGGACATTGGCGGGAAGTTCAAACCCATCAATAGAACTAAGGGTCACCAAATGTATAAAGTTGGCCACCCGGCCGTTACTTTTAGTTCCATGTGTGAAGTACCAATGAACGCATCTTCTCCTATGTCGTGGTCCGAGTCCTGATGTATCGAACCCAGTACTTTACAGCATCACAGCATGTGACATAGGATCTGACATCACTTCCTTCCTGAGCTCCCTCCCCTCCACAAACTCTGTCAGCTTCTCAAGCCAGAGTTGAAAACCCTATTCTTGTTCAAGCATACTTCAGGCTTGTACAGTTTCTCTGCATGAAGAAAAAGGAGGAGGGTGATTCCTGCAAAAAAAAAACCCCCCACACACAACATACCCCCCCCACTTGCTATGGCTCAGAATCACTGGGATCATGCTGCCCTCTTGTAATTCCTCTCTCTTGGGTACAACCACAGGCCTATACTGGGCCCCATGACTCCGTGGCTCTGAGTGTTGTCTCTTCTGAAGCATATTCAGTACTCTTCAGAACACCCAGAACATTTTTTCTTGTGCTTAATTTACAAATTAATGTTTCTTTCTGCATATCTGGGGAAATGTCCCTACCTTTGCTGAGGAAGGCTGGCTTTGCTTCTTTCATCATCCACACAAAGCTATGGTGGCGATGGCTGCAATGCAACACTGGTTTGTCAGTTTGAACACACTGATGATCCAATAAGTTTAAAAACGTTTGTTTCTCATTGTTTCAGAACAGATCAGATGAGAATATATAAATCTCTGTTAGATATTGGCCAGTAAATTTAAATGTAAAACTTGTTGGGAGAGCTGGTATAGTTAGTCCAGTTTAGCGGAGTGCATTAAAGCTACACATGCAGAAGGATCTTTGCACCAGGTATCCAAGCTTAGTTACAAAGTTACACAGAGCCACTTCTTCAGAGTAATAAAAGTCTATTTATCTATTCTAGATAGGAAAGGGTAGAAATAGGATAGTATTCTAATCTAATTTACTAAGGATGGAGGCAGATGGTGAGAGGGCCATCTGCATCATGGTGCCAAGATGGAAACAGCAAGGAATTTCACATTACCCTTTTTAACCCGTTTTGAAGCCGTTTTTGAGCCATCGTGGAGTAAACCGGTAAAGGGCTGCCATTTCACACATGGATTTCCCCTTCCGGTAAAGAGCTGGATCTGAAGTGGTTTGCCATTTCAGACTGCACCGCTTTTCCCCCACCGTTTTTTGCCCGCACAGGCTATCTCTGGCTTTAAAAAAAAAAAATGCTTTAGAGCGCTATAGCGCTGTAGTGCTATAACACAACACTCCAGGCATTCCAATGGGGTTGATATAATGCTGTTGTGTTATAACATTATACCGTTATACCGTTATAGCACTATAGTGCTCTAAAGCGAACGTTTTTAAAAAAAAAAAACAAAGCCAGAGATTGCCTGCGTGGGCGAAAAACGGCGGGGGAAAGTGCATCGGAACTGGGAGAGGAAACTGAAGACTACTTGGAAGCGGTTGACAGGTAAAACGCTTCAGCCCCATTTCCTAAATTGGACAGAAGTGTTTGTGTGTGAAATTACAAATATATTCCGGTAGGGAACCGGTTCTAAAACGGTTCTGTCTGAATTGACAGACCAGAAACCATTTGGGAGCCGTTCCTCTTCCGGATTATATCGTCTGTCTGACATTCCTCAGCATGTTCTCCCTCTTGGTGTGTGCAAGGAGAAGTGTGTTGTGGGAGAGAATGAACGGAAGGAAGGAGAAGCAATTTCCCTGAAATGTGTCTGTGTACTTCAAAGGGACAGTGGCAGAAGAGTAAACACAGGAAGGAAGCTTAATCTGACTATCTAGCTATTTGACTCTCTTGCCATGTAGTCTGGAGGCTGAGATGGAACAGCAACCAGTCCTTCACTTCCAACAAAATTCCATCAGACCTTTAATAACTATGTAAAGCAGAAACTGTCAATCTGAGATTTGTACATTCTCTCATTTGTGCCAGAACAGATCAGATATAATTCCAGTTTTCCAGTTGTTTAATGCAGCTTCTGGTATTAATTTTGCACCATATGCACAAATCCTTTTGTTAATTGGTTTCTTTTATATCTCTAAATAGCTTAAACATTAAGGAGGTTATCTCTAGCTGGCATAGTTTATTGATTTTTTCCCCCACTGGTATCTGTAAGAGTGTTTACTAAGCCAGGCCACTTTAATTGATTTTATAAGAATACAAGGTCAGAATTCCAACCTTCCTACCAAAACTGGATTGAACCAAACTAAAACTCATTAACAGTGCAATCCTAAACAGAGTTATACCAGTGGGGTTCCAAAGTACTGGACTGCAAATATACATACTTTTAAAATCTGAAATTCTAGTTAATGCTCACAACTCTCAAGCACTATTTGTTGCAAGTATTTATTTATTTCAGATATTTTTAACCATCCTTCTATTCTAAAAGAATATTCATGACGGGCTAAATGAATGCAACACCACTAAAATGGTTGGTAAAAGTGCAACTTAAATCAAATATGTTAAAACAACCCTGTGCAAGTCAAATAAAAAGCAGCTCAATGAAACAGTGTTAACAAAATTAGCAAACAGTATTGCACTCCAGAATCTCAGTGAAAGAAGAAATGCAAAGCTAATTCAGTGTCAAAGGCCCTCCATAATAAGTATTTTTAAACAACATGAGAATGTCGAGAGAGAAGACAGCAAAGGTACTCTGTGTGTGCTCTGAAAAAATGGTTATAATTTCAGATTGAGGCTTTGGGGGTGGGGGATTTTTACCATGACTGTTTCTTTTGGGGTATAAATTCATGTGATTCTGGAGTTCAGGACCATTATTTTTAATGGGGAAAGTATATGAAGATCTGGGATAGCTGTTTACAAAGATAATGGAACAAAAATTTGCACAGAACATAGTTCTCCATATAATCTACAGGCCCCCTAGTTTCAAGTAGACAGAACAAAAGGGTTTGATTTTTCAGACCCCCCCCCCAAACAGGTGACTTTTTGCACAGCTGCACTTCTTTCTACTGATTCCTAGAATGGTGGTCAAACGGCAGCCCAGCAGGAGGGCCATTACTTCCTATGGGGGACTTTTGGGGGTAGGGGAGATGGGAAAGATTCAGTTGCTGAAAATGTCCTGTCCTGAATGCCTGCCGACCTGATAGTGTAGATTCCCCAAAAGCACACTACCAGCTAAACTTGGATCGCAGGTGTGTTCAAGAAGTTGAAAGTGATTCTTCAAGGACTTTGGTCCCAAGCCCATTAGGACCTTGAAATTCCAAACCTGCACTTTGAATAGAGCTCATAAACAAATCAGAAGAACATAGTTTGAGTCCAGTGGCACCTTTAAGGCCAACAAAGTTTAATTGAAGGTATAAGCTTTTGTGTGCTTGCACATGTCTTCCACAATGTCATTCCACATTAGGGCTGCTAAGTGGGGGTGGGGGGCGGGGAAACCCCCGCTTTGGAGGCCCGATTTCTGCCGTGGCGGAATTGGGCCCCGGGGGAAACCCCGCTCCCCCGAAGCTGCATCACCAGAGGTGACGCACGACATAGGCCACGTTGGGGGCGTGGCCCAGATGTCTGGGGGAACTATATGGTTTCCCCCCAACGATCTGGGCCACGCCCCCAACGTGCCCTACGTTGTGCGTCACTTCCTGTGATGTTCTGGCGGCCCACGCAAAGCACGCGCGCACGTCCGCAGCCAGCTTCTGGAGCGAGCAGACGCTCCCCCACCGGTGAGTAAATAAGACTTGGCAACCCTATTCCACATTGTCACTCATTTGTCCCTATTGCTTTGGGTGTCCCCCCCCCCCCCGGTCTTTCCACATGTTTTTTTTTTGCTCCCTCTGGGACTACTAAAGAGAGCAAAACACATTTGGGGGAAAAGAACCCTGAAGCAATAGGGACAAACGGGTGACAAAAAGGACAATGCGGAAGTGGCCATAGATAGCAGGAGACAGACAGATCTCCCTGGAGAGGAAGTTCCAAAGCTTTGGCACCACAACCAAGAAGGCTCTTTCTTAGATAGTGAGGGCATCTGAAGCAGGGCCTCCAAAGGTGACTGAAGTGGACAGGTAGGGTCACATGGGAGTAGGCGATCCGTAAGGTATTTAGGGCTTTAAAGGTCAATACCAACACCTTGAATTGGGCCTAGTGGCTATGATTTCTTAGGCAAGATTCTGCAAACCTTAATAAAGGAAAGATGTTCTCAGGAATTGTGTTTTGTTAATATGTGCCCAGCACAGATGATTAATATTGTTCAAAATCTCTGGGTTTTCATTTCCAGTGGGACAACCTTGGGTTAAACCATTTTATATTGACATGAGCCAAACATCTCTCTGTAGTTAAGGAAACCTCTTAACCAAAGTGTGTGCCTTTCCCTCTCTGCTTTTTCCCTCTAGATGATGGTGGTGAATGGCAAGGCTTGGATGACAACATTGCCCACATCCCTTTCATGACTGAGCGTTTCTCAGAAGAAGACATGGTTAAAAGATCAAAGGATTTTTATGCCTTTCTCAATAGCAGACGGTCTGTCAGGTTTCTAAGCGATGAGCCAGTTCCAAGGGAGGTTATTGACAATGTTATTAAAGCAGCAGGTACTGCACTGTGTGGATGGATTCCTGGGAAAAGTGAAGTACTGGGCAGCCACTCTAGCACCTTGTTAGCATTCGCTGAAAATGTACTCAGACCCCACTGAAGTCATTGTAAGAGGCTTGCAGGAGGAGAGTTGGCAAGGCAAAGAACAGGATCCCAAACTTCATGAAATAATCCAGTACTGGTTTCCAATACCCTTCAACAGGCCCAACAGTCTTGATAATCAGGGCTATTTTTGGGCAGGAACGCACAGGAACGGAGTTCCGGCTGGCTCCCAAGTTGGCCACGCCCATCAGGAACTCATTAGCATAATAGGCCACACCCAACAGCAGGAACTCATTAGGATTGGCTACATTAGGGGTGTGTGGCCTAACATGCAAAGGAGTCCCTGCTACAAAAAAAAAAAGCCCTGGGTTTTGACAACAAACAAGGTAAACAGAATAAGAAGCAAAAGGTGGGTGTGGCTGGATGACCACACTTCTGGTAACACAGGAGTGTGGCCTCATATGCTAATGACCTGTGCTGTCAGGGGTGTGGCCCAATATGCTAATAGGTTTCTGCTGTTGGGTGTGGCCAATTATGCTAATGAGTTCCTGCTGGGCTTTTTCTACAAAAAGAGCCCTGTATGATAATTATGAGCATATTCTTACTTTGTACTGGCATTGTGGGTGCTGCTGCAAGGCAGAGCTTTCATAAACTGCCAGGGCAATGCTGTAACTGGGTAACACAGGTACATGGAGGGGCCACAGCACTGGCAACTCCCATGTGGGCCTGGGCCATTTTGGAAAGGAGCTGTGCTGCAGTGATTCCTACACCATCAACATGACATAAAAAACGCCTTTGTCACCTTGAGTTGGATTCCTTGCAAAATCTGAAAATAGAACTAAGATGCATGTGTCAGCTAGGCCTCTGGCTATACTAGCTGCCATGGGTGTGGGGGGGGGGACTCTGGAATTTTGACTTTCGTTTCTGCTGTGTTTCCAGCCTTTCTTTATCTATGTAACAGAAGCCTTCGACCTTGAGTGTCTGGTGTACTTTTCTCCTGAGAATTATTGCCCATTACTTTGATGGGGTTTTACCTGGCCTCTGATTGGACCCGAGCCATCAGGGAACCCTCTGGAATAATGTATATCTGCTTGCTTCACACGCTTTAGGCCAGTTCTAACACTAAGAGTTATGATATCTGCATACTCTCAATGTCTCAATAAACTTTACTTCTTTGAATGAAAGCTGTTGGGAACTGATCGCTGCAGGAGTCTGACAGCACGTTCTGGTTTTTGCTCTGTGTAACCAATATACATGTGTAGCAGTCACATAATTTGTGCATAGCCCAAAAATGGCATCACTGACATTTTCTGTAAGCACAGTCATTCAGGATGACTCTGTCAATGTCCACAAGTAGCCATATCCACTGAGGCAGTAGAACAAGTGAACACCACTATGAAGTATACGACTCTTCATGTACTATCATGATGCATTATTATTAAATATGACTGAGACTGGTACTACTAATTTAATCTAGGATTCTTTCAACTAGAAGTTCTTACAGACTGGAGGTCTTAATGTTAGAGATCCATTTTCTTTATCTTTTTGTGAATTCGCTTTCTTTAATATCAATGTTTCTTTTATTTGATTAAAGGAACAGCTCCCAGTGGAGCTCACACAGAGCCATGGACCTTTGTAGTAGTACAAGATCCAGAAATAAAACATAACATCCGAGAGATCATTGAAGAGGAGGAAGAAATAAACTATAAGAAAAGAATGGGAGACAGATGGGTTAATGACTTGAAAAGACTGAGGTATTAACACTTCTCCCTGCTCAAACATATATCTTTTAAAGATAGTCATTGAATGTTTTAATAAGCTCAGGATAAAAACTTGTGTGAAGTTTGACTTGGAATAGGATGTCATATATCTTGATAAATCTGTAGGCTCTCTGAAAGGAAATGAATCTGCATATAATCTCTTAGTAAGCAATTCCATGCAAGTGAACATTCTAAATGCATAAAAATAAATATTAATTTGATCATTTTGAAGATCTAAAAATTTATCATCTGTATTATAATGCATGCTAAAGTATTCTTTGTATATTCCAGATCAAATCATCTGTATTATAATGCATGCTAAAGTATTGTTTGTATATTCCAGATCAAATTATCAGGCTGTTTTACAGCCAATGCAAATATTTGTAGTTGAGGCTATAGATTAAATAAATAATATAAGTAATAACAAGGATTGAAAACCATCCTTTTCTAGGACAAACTGGATCAAAGAATACTTGGATACAGCTCCCTACCTGATCCTTATTTTCAAGCAGGTGTATGGAATGCTTCCAGATGGAAAAAAGAAAACCCACTACTACAATGAGATCAGTGTTTCTATTGCCTGTGGCATTCTCCTCGCTGCACTACAGGTATGCTTGCAATTAAAGTATGAGTTGGACCAGGATGAAGGTTGGAGAGTTACATGTGCAACAGTATTCCAGAAGGTAACTAGCACATGCTTCAAATTTGCTATCGATTATGGTCCAGGCCACACTGGCCAGGCAGGGGGAGGATTCCCCCCCCCCATATGACTCACATGCTGGTGCAAAAAACCCCAGATCATGGCATGGGAGAGCTCTGGGACTACGGCAGTGTGGAGTATGTGCTCAGGCTGTTTGGGGCTCTGGCCAGGAGCTCTAGATTTTGCAGAAATCCCAAGGAAATGATATGCAAGATCCAGGTTTGCTTACAAGGAGATTTTAATAAAGCATCAGGCTTACAGAAATAGCAGGCTAAACTTCCATCCGCTGGGCCTCACGTACATACACACAGCCAAGCTTGCCAGAAACTGAGATGAGACACATAGCTAAAACTAAGCATCTTATGTCCTAAGTGCTGGCTACCAGTCAAGAAATGATCTATCAGGCTATCCCAAACATTGAGATGAGCCACGCCACCTCCTACCTGGCGTCTAGTGGTGAGAGGAAACAAATCAGACTTTGGAGATAAGGGCTGCTAACAAGCATGACACAGAGAGAAATATTCTCTTGTGAGGGGCCTGAGTGCTGTCGCCCCACAAAACACAAGGCGACTAAAAGGTCAAGCACCAGCCGGTAACAAAGATGGAGTTACAAAGGCTATACACAGGCACACCTACTATACACAGGCACACCCAGGCTTTGAATTTGAATGAAGATACATGCAGCTAAACTCTATTGGGAATAATGAAGAGGGAGCCTGGCATACACAAGTTCCACTTGGAATTGCCAGCCCAAGTCTAAACATGTTTATTCTGAAGTACCATGTTCTTTATTCACTTGGGCTCATGTTCTGTTTAGAATGGCAGTCTTAAGCCTTTAGCTGTGCTATTTGTTTTGGTGGGAACTGGCTTTTTCCAAATTGCACCCATTCTTGCTACAGGACTAAGCACATTATAAGTCATGTTTGTAGCTCATCCTTCCTCTAAGGAGATCAGATTGTCATTATACCCTTACAACAATCCTGTGGAGTAGGTTAGGAGTGGGGATCCTGACATGCCCAAGGCCGCCCTGTGAATGTCATAGTGGGGAGAAATTTAAGTGGGCTCTTTGCATTAAAACCCAGCTCTTTTATGGTTATACCCAGGGGTCATTTGGGGGCGGAGTCCACCCCCACAACCCCACCCCCGCGTTCCTTTTTTCTAGAGTTGCGCCGCAGCAGTGGCGCGATGTTTCCATTATATTCTGTGGGGCCATAGAATATAATGGAAAGATGCGGTGCGACTCCACAGAGAAGGGGTTTAAATTCCAGAGTTTCGGTCTGCGGGGAGCGTGGGGGGCCCCTCTAGGAGCCAAGGAAGGCATGGGGAGGCATTTAAATGCCTCCCCATGCCTTCCTTGGCTCCTAGAGGGGCCCCCCACGCTCCCCGCAGACCGAAACTCTGGAATTTAAACCCCTTCTCTGTGGAGTCGCGCCACAGTGACAGCGCGATCTTTCCCCTGTATTCCAGGACCCCATAGAATATAATGGAAAGATGACTCTAGAGAGAAGGGGTTTAAAGTTTAAACCCCTTCTCTTTGGAGTCGCGCCACAGTGACAGCGCGATCTTTCCCCTGTATTCCAGGACCCCATAGAATATAATGGAAAGATGACTCTAGAGAGAAGGGGTTTAAACTTTAAACCCCTTCTCTCTTTGCTTCCCCCCCCCAGCCCGCCTTGGCAGGCCAGCGCCGCAGCAGTGGCGCGATGTTTCCATTATATTCTGTGGGGCCATAGAATATAATGGAAAGATGCGGTGCGACTCCACAGAGAAGGGGTTTAAATTCCAGAGTTTCGGTCTGCGGGGAGCGTGGGGGGCCCCTCTAGGAGCCAAGGAAGGCATGGGGAGGCATTTAAATGCCTCCCCGCTCTCTCCCTGGTCCTTCCTGGCTCGCGAGCCAGGAGAGGGCGGGGGGGGGGCTCCAGAAGCAGGCCAGCTGAGGAAGCAAAAAAGGGGGGGAGGCATCTTCAAAAGCCTCCCCTTCCCTTCCCCAGCCGGCCTGCCAAGGTGGGCTGGGGGGAACGAAGAGAGAAGGGGTTTAAAGTTTAAACCCCTTCTCTTTGGAGTCGCGCCACAGTGACAGCGCGATCTTTCCCCTGTATTCCAGGACCCCATAGAATATAATGGAAAGATGACTCTAGAGAGAAGGGGTTTAAACTTTAAACCCCTTCTCTCTTTGCTTCCCCCCCCCAGCCCGCCTTGGCAGGCCAGCTGGGGAAGGGAAGGAGAGGCTTTTGAAGATGCCCCCCCGCTTCCCCTTCTGACACCACTCCCGGTGATGTCAGGGGGCATGGCATAGGCTAATGAGCTATTTTGCTAATCGCCTATTAGATATGCTAATGAGCTCCTGCAGCTCTTTTTCTACGAAATGACCCCTGGTTAGATCACACTGGTTCTCATGTGGCTTGAGGGTACAACTACATCTGGCATATTGAATACCAGACGAGCCCGCCGAAAGAAAGAAAGAAGAAGCCACCGGACCGGACGACCACACCAGGAACCAAGCACTGACACCCGAAAGACCGCCCGGGAAGAACAACCAAGAAAAACAGCGAGCCCTGCCACCTGGGTGCCGGTAGGCAGCCCCAACCCCTGTAGACATGTGGCCTTAGCTAGGGATAGATTTGGAACTTGTAAGCCGCTCAGAGACCCTTCGGGGTTGGAGCGGGGTAGAAATCGAAGATAAAATAAATAAATAAATGTGTAGATTCTGAGTTATGACTTTATCATGAGAGCAGGCGAATGGATGACTGCATTTCCGCCTTAACGTAAAGTAAGGAACCCAGGAACAATTATGCACAATTTACCATCAAATTTTACTTCCATAGACAAAATTACATCATACGTAAATTGGGGAGGACCCCATTCCATGGTGTTGATTGTCAGCTTATTGTCTTTGTTTTTCCAGAATGTGGGTCTGGTGACAGTGACTTCGACACCACTGAACTGTGGCCCGCGCCTGAGAGTGTTGCTCCAGCGCCCAGTGAATGAAAAGCTACTTCTGCTGTTGCCTGTTGGGTACCCCAGTAAAGATGCCACAGTGCCCGACTTGAAACGAAAGCCACTGGATGACATTATGGTGGTTGTATAAACATGCCACGGAGCAGTGGGACATGACCCTTGGAAATGTAATTTTTCACTGAAAATAATCAGCAGGATGTTAATTTTCTTTGGCCATTTCTGAGCCAATTCATACATGCAGCAGCCTCCTCCTTGCAAACATCCACAGGTTTAGGCACACCTGCAGTCCCAGGGGGGATGCTGTCTGTGAAATGAAAACACTGTATGTATCTGAAGAAGTGTGCATGCACACAAAAGCTTATATCCAGAATAAAACTTTGTTGGTCTGAAAGGTGCCACTGGACTCAGACTTTATTCTGCTGCTTCAGACTGACACGGCTGCCCACCTAAACCTGAAAGCACTGGTGTTCCTGGTTACATGTGATTCCTGCAGTTCTCATGATAACACGTAACTGGATGTGGGCATACTTCTGTTTCACATCCAGCATCAGCCAAATAATGACATGGGCACCTAAGTCCAAAAACGTTAACTTAGAGGAGGCAGCAGCCTGTCTGAACCCGTGGTACCATCAGGGCCAGACTTCGGGGCAGAAGCCTGGGGTCCCCACACATGAGCTCAGCAGGGGTCATCTCAAAATCAGCTCCGAGGCTCACATCTGAACTATACGTTACCATCTGAACAGAGCCCCGTAGGACCGTTAAGTCCCATTTCTAAGAGTACTTTGTGGCATTACTGGTTTGAACTGGCACGTGATCGATATACCCTTTCCCCCTCTCGCCTTCAGCCACATCTTGTGTTTGTTTCTCTGGCACCTTCGTAGCACTAATTAATGACAACAGGTGCATTCACTAACAACTGTAAGTAATCAGAATAAGTTATTTAATAGGTTTAATCATCGATTAGAAACATGAAATGGGGTTTAAACAACCTTAATTTCTTATATTTCCACACTCTCTGGTGTGAATCGTATTGTGACTTTTCGTGAAATTTGGTGATTTTGATTTGTAAAGTAGACCTGTATGTATGCTCTGGTGGAAAGAAACAGAGATAAATGAGACAGCCAAATCCTGGCCTTCAGGTCACTCCCTCGGAACATGGATAAGGCTTGTATTGTCTGATGCATTGTCTCCTCTGCGTTGAGTTTTGCTTGAAAGAAACATTTGCAGCCCAGTTTAAAGTGCTACAGCTGAGTCCTGGAGGACATGAATTAATAATGGAGGAGGATGCCTCTGAGCCTTTCCATCCACACTCGGCAATCACAAAAAGCATCTATCTGTGATAAGTGAGATTTGAGTAGGGGGTTGGACTAGATGACCTGCAAGGTCCCTTCCAACTCTAACGTTCTATGATTCTAAGAGTGAGAAAACGCAGCATTCAGGCAGGACTGAGTCCCAGCACTTCCCTTTTTAGAAAAGCATGACCCTGGACTTACCTGGGGCTGTTTTGTAGGTAGAGGACTGAGGTTGGGAAGGAGGTTTTTCACTCCTTAGCTGAGGCTGTGGTGTGGGGTTGCATGGTGGCAGCTGCTGGCCTCCTGATTTGGGTGGAATTTGGCCAGCCCACCAATTGCCAGCTGCCTGGGTTGGCCTGGAGGGCAGACCAGAGGAGGACCTGGTGGATGGAGTTTCCCCTCTGGTCCACCCCTCCTCCTTATAGGGCCATGTGGGTTGCCAGGCCTGTGCCCAGTCATTGCTTTTTTGGCACATACACAATTTTTTCCCCTTAGATAGACTTCAGGGAACCCTATTTAAAAGGTTTGTTGTAGAAAGTGGATTTGCATAGTGCTGATTTGTCAGCCTTCATGTCAGTCATGAAGCTGTACACACCCTTCTCTAAGCAGTTTGTCAAGAGTAAAACAAGCAAACAAACCCGTGTAAAAACGTGTCTAAGGTTGTGGTCACATGCGACGGTTGGAGCGGAGGGGAAGTGAGGCTCTTCCCTCTGGAGGAATTTGACCCACAGTTGCGAAATCACATATCCCCTTTGTGCTGCAGACGCAGCCCATCACTGTGTGATCAGATGCACCATGGGTGAATCAGGGTTTTTTTTTGCCATTTGTTTCCCATGCGCATAAACGAGGAATCACACCTCCTCGCTGAGGGTTCCCTGTGGTGTATGCAATTATGCACATACTGCGGGGGGGGGGACGGCACTGAGTTGGGATGGACTGATCAGAGAGCGTGCTTGCCCGATCAGACAGGGGAAAGTACGTCTGTGGCCCGTCAGAACCCATTTAAAGCCAGACTTTCCCCGGTGTCTTTTAACTCTGCTTCCATGGCAGAGCACGGGTTGCAGACGACTGTGGGACGCTTCCCAGATGTTGCTGTCTGATCCTTCCCTTTAGATTCGTCAGGGATTTGCAGGTATGTCGGATCTAAAGGTGTGTGTGATTGCAGCCTAAATGTTTGTTTGGGGCTTTCTTTTTCAACTTTTAATCAAATATGCAGGCCCTTGATGGGGAAAAAACCCCCAAAGTGGACAGCTTCAATGAAACTTAGATCAGGATGAGCAAAAAGATAATTTCCATTCAACTGTATGAATCTCCCTTGGGACATAAAGCTGGAGAGAAGCAGAGCTTTTCCTACAACAGAAGACACTACGGAACACTCCTGCACATAGCCTTTCGGCATTTTTTGATTCCTGTTTATTTAAAAACGTACATTGAACATCTCAGAGCGGGTAATCACTCAGACCCTCAGTATTGCCTTGGAAATTAATACCCCAATAGGTCACTTCCAAGTAAGTTTGCAATGAACTTCACTTCTGTGTTGCGATTTGCAAATATTGTGAAGTTTTACTTTGTGGTGATAAAACAGGAACCCTGATGCCAGTCTAGTTGTGCCATTGTGTCAGCTGCAACTTACTTGCCCTTAGATAGAAAAGTACATCTACAGCCATACCCATTAATGTGAATGGAGGTGGGATGGGAATCATCCAAGTAAGAGACTGAATAATGGATAAATTATTGGACTACATCTTTATTTTTATTTTTTTATGTACATTTACATTTATATCCCGCCCTCCCCGCCATTCAGCAGGCTCAGGGCAGCTAACAACATACATAAATATACATTAAAACTCTATTAAAACAATCAATATAAAATCATACTACATAAACATAACTTATATTAAAAGATGGCAAATCTTCCAATATCAACTGTCAGCTGAACGGTGTCCACACGCTCAAGGCCAACTATAGAACCTCGGTTGGTGGTGCCGTTGGTACTGTTGGTACCAATAATGGCACAGTTGTTGATACAGTTGGTAATCCGACCAGGGCCAGGGCCATATGATCAAGGTGGCACCCTACTTAAAAGCCTGGTGGAAGAGCTCCATTTTACAGGCCCTGCGGAACTGTAAAAGGTCCCGCAGGGCCCTGATGTCCTCTGGGAGCTCATTCCACCAGTGAGGGGCTGCCACAGAGAAGGCCCTGGCCCTCATTGTAACCAACCAGGCAATTTTGGGAGCCCAATCTTAGTGCTCACTGGGGTACATGTGGGGAAAGGTGGTCCCTTACATAAGCAGGTCCCTGGCCATATAGGGCTTTAAAGGTAAGAACCAGCACCTTTAACTGTATCAGGTATGCTATAAGCACCCAGTGCAGAGTTTTTAGGGCGGGCTAGATGTGTTCCCGCATAGGAAGACACAACAATAGCCTCGCCACTGCATTCTGCACCAGCTGCAGCTTCCAGATTTGGGACAAGGGCAGCCCCATGTAGAAAGCATTACAGTAATCCAGTGTGTGGATCACCATTGCTAGGTCATTGTGTTCAAGGAAGGGAACCAACTGCTTAATCAGTCATAGATGATAAAAGGCCGACTTTGCAGTGGCTGCTACATGTGCCTCCATCATTAGGGAGGTATCCAGGAGCACTCTCAAGATCCTAACCTCCGGCGCTGGCACCAATGGCGCCCCTTTGAACATCGGGAGGGGGATCCCTAGCCTTGGACCGCTCCGACTCAGGCACAGGACCTCCATCTTCATCGGATTCAATTTCAGTCGGCTCTGTCTAAGCTAACCAGCCACAACTTTCAATGCCAGGTCCAGATCTCCCGGACTAGAGTCTGACTGGCCGTCCAACAACAGATAGAGCTGGGTATCATTAATGACAATCCAGCTCATGTCTCCGGGCAATCTGGGCGAGGGGGCGCATATAGATGTTAAACAGCATTGGGGAGAGCACTGCACCTCAGGGCACTCCGCACACTAGTGGGTGCCTTCCGGACAGTTGCTTCCCAACTGCCACCCTCTGCCCCAAATCCTGAAGAAACGAAAAGAGCCACTGTAAGGCAAACCTCTAAATCCCGGTATCGACGAGGCAGTGGACCAGTAGTTGATGGTCGACCATGTCGAATGCCGCCGACAGGTCTAACAGCATCAACACCGCCATACCGCCTTGATCCAGATGCCTCCGAACATCCAGGGAGACCTGTGTTCAAATCCCTATTCCACCATGAAATCATGGGGTAATTTGGAGCCAGCTACTCTTTCTCTCTCACTCGAACCTATTTTACAAAGATTTTGTAAGGATAAGTGGTAGCTGGAGAAAGGACCAACTGCTCTGTGTTGTTTGGAAGAAAGGTGGGACCAGGGCCACTGAGAGAGAAGGACAGGGGTTGTTTTCTCCAGTAGTCTAGCCTTTCTCTTTTCCTTTCCTTGCACCCAGCTCAGCCAGGTCTTGTAAAGTGGTAGTCAGTGTATTGCAGCAAGATGAAACAACTCCTCCCTCTCTTTTCCTTAATTTCTCTCTGTGTTTTCCACACTTTTCTCATTCATTTCTCTCTCCCTCCACCTAATTTTCCTGTGTGTGTGTGTCCCCCACATTTATTTTCAGGTTTTGGTCTCAACCCCTCATTGCTACCCTGCTTGGCAACAGAATGTACTTAATAGTAGTATAGTAGCACACCTTCGTTAATATTATGAACAGAAGGGGGGGAGTTAATGTTTCCCTATGATCTAACAAAGTAGTAAAATGATGCTTCCCGTCCCCCCCCCCTTTACATGCAGGGTAATGGAACATTAATCTGTTTTAGTGGTTAAGCATGTGGAACAGAAATTATTGTGTTGGTGGAAGATCTAATAACTGTTTGTAAAGGCTACTTTGCTATATGACAAAAGACATAATGTATTTACTGTCATTAAAATTAGATTTATAACAAATGTCATACCTAGTCTTTCTTCCTGATGGGAGCCTAAAGCTGCATTGTTCTCCTGTCCCCCATTTTATATTCAGAAGAACCCTGTGAAGCAGGTCCAGCTGAGAATGTGTCACTTAGCTACCTTCTATGGTGG